AACACCTGCCTGCCAATGAGAAGCAGCGTATGGATTCCTGCCTTGGCTTTGCTTGTGTGCATGGCTTTCGCTTTGCCTAGGGAACTGTCTTTATCTCAACTCATGAGCTCTTGCACTTTCACCTTCCTAATTCTCTCCCCCATCCCACACGGTGACAGTGAACGGGCAGCTGGGTGGTGCTCAGCTGCCTGCTGCGTTAAACCACAACAATGGCATAACAATTAGTAAAGTAGCTCTACCTTGAAGATTTCTCTTTCTAAAATTATGGCTTGTGATTATTTACGACTCTTTAAGAATAAGCTGATCTCCACTGAAAGAAACCCAAGCTACTCCTGGCAACCAGGGCAAGCTAGCAGCATTCCTGACAGTAGGGTTAATTTGTTCCGCTGTCTTTTCTCAAGAACTCATGATCACAGACCTTTGACTCTTCCACTGTTTGCTATTGAAATACTGCAGAACTAAGGTATTGTGACTGTCTTAAGACTCTTTCCTTATGTTCGTAACTCAAGTATCTGTTCCTAAGTTTTTCGGGAATACACACCATATTCTGGATTCTTGTCTTTGAGGGTCATGTTTTTCTTTTAAATATTTGTAGGTTGTACAATTGGTGTCAGGTTCCAGATGAACACACACAAAACATCATGATTGAGAGGCCTATTCTGAGAGCTGAACTTAAAATAAAAAAAAAGAAAGAGGTATGACAGACCTTTGATTTGATTCCTTCTGGCCTAAAGCAGGATGAAACTCAGCTCTGATGATGCTTATAAGTAAGTCAGGAATGCAATATCCAATCACATATTTGCATACAAAGGCTGTGTTTACAAGCATTTTCCTGAATCATTTGAAACATGTTTTAATAGTACCAGCAATAACAGCAACAGAGAACAACCCCTGGCTGGGCACTAAGCTACAAAAAAAAAAATAAACATGCCAGCAGAGAGAGGAACATGGGAAGGAAGACCAGGTTGTGTTCAGGAGTAAGTGTCTTCCTTCAAAGTTGACAAGCTACTGTTTATGACAAGTTACTGTTTATCCTTGTTATGCACTATTGTATCACTGATCAATGTCCTAAAATGAAACTCTTAATGTCTAATTGGTCTAGGAATATAACTGTGTAACTAATATGCAAACACATGTAACAAGAACAGCAAAGAAATGTAAAATACTTGTCATAAAAATGCAGTTAAAGTTAATCTACAAGGGAATGAACTGTTAGGAGCTATTTCCCCCCCAAATTAAAATAAGATAAATGCAGGGGTGGGACTGGGGAGGGGGGAAGCGTTTAGGTGATCTAGGAAACCTACATAAGTGTAACACAGATAGATAATCAGATGTACAGAATAGTTGTGACTCTACACAAAAAAAAAAAAAATCCCCACCAACACACTCGATAGATTGGGAACCCTCAGGCTTCAGAGAGGTCTCTGAAGTCATGCGTAGTATGAGAGAGATGAAGAGGGAACGGTTATTCAGTACTTGAGACTCACACAAGGAAATCATCAGGTTTAAAAACCAAGCCAAAGGAAATACATTTTCCAAACAAGGCATGGTTAAATTGTGTAACTTATTGAGTGTTGTGGATGCCAAGTGTTTAAATGGGTTCAAGAGGGATTATACAAATGCATGTAGAATTCTTCCATTGGTGGCTATAAAAACAAGAAATAATAGAAGTCTTGATGCAACCGGATGCTTCAGAAGTCCCTGAGCTGATGACTGCCAGAAACTGGGTGGATGAAACAGGATGACAGTGCTCTCAGTATTACGCTCCTTCCCTAAAGAACCATGAAGGCAAGACCCCAGAGCACGAGGGCTTCTGGGTTTGTTTGGGACTGTGACTCTCTGCAAAGGAGCTTTAAAGCTGTGGAGACAAGAAGTCTGCTGGCCCCCCCTGTAAGAGGAACCTCCAGGGTTAACCGTAGTTTCTCTCAGCCTCGCAGCAGCTCCTTCTCATGACTTCGCTGGCTTCCGGGGCAGAGAAGGGGAAGAGGGGAGAGCAAGAAAGCAAGAGCAATTAGGGTCATGAGGAATATGGCACTGTTCATGTCACATCTAAAAACTATACTTTGCCTTCTAAAAATTTTCCTCTAGAAAGCTGAGAGTTGTCTTGACAGCACAGTTTACAATGTCTGATTTTTTTTTTTTTTATTTTTATGGCATGCTATGAACAAAATTTAAATACCAGTGCCAAGAATTAGGATGATTTACATCATTCTCTCCAGGGTGGGGCATACTCTGTTCAGTTAGAGGCTCATAATAGCCCCCATGCTGCTGAGCTGTGTTTATCACTATAAATTAAAATGTTTCCATTTCAAATCCTTTCAGCTCTTGAAGTAAGGATGGCTTGGGGGTTAGGAAGTGGGGTAGGGGTTCAAGTCCCGAGGGAATCAACTGTTTCCAGCACAACCACAGCTCCTGGCTCCTGCTTCATTCCTGCGAGCTTGAATGCAGCCATTCATCTAAAAAGCAATAGCCAGAGTAAAAGGAGAGTGCTTGACATCCTACCTTCTCTTCTTGTGACCCATTTTCCAATGCGTTTACCTTGAAGCAGAGCCACACAAATGCACTTTTTGCACTTCTGCCTTGGAGGGCAGCATAGCAGTACCGAGCTGGGGATCAAGCTGGTCAGACACTCAACCTGTCGCTGGCAATTTAATGAATTTCAAATCAAAGCACGCTCGCAGCTAATAACATGATTCAGCTAGTTTGCCATCTCTTACCAGGACTACCCAAATCCAGATGTTCAGGAAAGTTTTGCCCAGACTCCACCAAAATCCCAAGACATTCCTGAAGGAGAGCCATATTTCTTATTATTCTTCCAGGGCTAAATTATCCTGCTCTGCAACAGTTTCCAGCAGAAAATGCAATCCTACCAGAGCCCAGCTAAAGCCAGTGCATTATTATTTATTACTTTTTTTTTTTTTTTTTTTTTTTTTTTGTTATTTAAGCAGACTAGGGTAAAATTACCCCAAAGGTGCTAACAAAAATGAATATGTTGTGTATAGTTTGCCAATATCACCCCAAGCTCCTTTCTTCTACATGAAAGGGGGCATATGCTAAAGAAACAAGACCTTTCTGTATGACCAAAGACAAAAGCTATAAGCTGCAATTTTTAATGCATTTCTGTCTCTGAAGTTACTTTAACTGCTGCAGGCAGAGTTCTCATATGGCTCCTGCGGCATCTAAAAGGAGATGTCCATAAGCAATGCTCTCACAAAACAAAGGTCTCCTATCAGCAGATAAAAACAGAAAATTTTATAAAATCCTCTAACAATTACGTGTTGGAAGCATCAAAAATTGCTGGAGAATAGGTTTTCTGTTATTTATTTTACATAAGCATTAAGCAAAGGAATCAGTGTCTGCCACAGCACTGTGTACTTGCCTGCAAAACTACACACAGCCAGCAGATCTAACTTAAGGTTTGCAGTTCACTCTCAATGTTGTTTTTAATCAAAGATGTTGCAGCTTTGGAATAAAATAAAGCTTTAATACTGAAGGGCTATACCTTGCTCTCTCAAACAAAAGCCATGAAACAGCTTCCATCCATATTAGGTCATCTTCTAAGACCTGCAGAATTTTATTATTATTATTGCTACTATTATATCAGCAGCAAGATCCAGAGCTACAAGGAGTTGTGTTTACTTTAGTTCAATGCTCTGTTTTCTTAGTTACCTCAGAGTACTACTTAAAAGAAGAAAAAAGTAATTTTTGCTGAAAAGGCAGCAAAAGCATGGGCCTTCAGTTATTTTTTTTTGCTGGCTGCTGGATACCCAAGTTTAAACACAACTGCCAGAAAGATTGTGGTGGCCTCTAGTGGCTGTTTTTCCCAGCATCCCAAACTCATTACATGATTTGGCTCATAAGGCTGCATCTGCTCCGCTTCCCGGCAGTATTTGCTAGATTATTTTGAGTGGGGCAGTAGGGCAAGACAACCATACTGTGGAGCAGCTGGGGAAAGGCAGGACTTGTTAGTCTTCCCAGCTGCCATTTATGTATGTTATCTGCCAGTCCTCACCAGGTGCAGTTGAATTAGTGATCTGACAGCTACATCTATCCCTGAAGTAGCTGTGGTTCTTAAAATTATGCTTTTTCTATTGATTTTTTAACACAATTTCTTTTTAAGCTACAAGTGTGTCAATTGTAATTGACCCAATTGTAATGAACCCAAGAACCAGATGTGCCTTCATGGATGACTAATCTCCAATTAACATTTTCTTTCAATTAATTAGAGGATTTACAAGTTACAAATGCAGGATTTAAAAATAGCTAAACAGTTCTTTAGGAGAAAATCTCTGATTTATCTCGAATTGACTACAGAGAGCCTTGACTCTGGTGCCAACCCCTCCACCATGTAAAGATCAAACCTATTCAAAGGTAACATTTGTGGCACACATTTTCTACAAGCTGTTCAACTTTACCTCAGGTTAAGGTAATCAGTTCCCTACCACCTTGCTTAGACCACCACTGGCGTGAATGTAGAGGCTATTTATAGGATTGGATGAAATTTTATTCTTCTGTATCAGTGAACCTGAAGCCTACAGTCTTTAGAAACTGCTTAGCTGAAGAAGAGTGGAAACATCTGAATTTGACTTGTAAGCTCCCAGGCCACAACAGAAACTTCCCAGAAGGGCTTTTGGTGTTCTCTCCCTAAGTTTGTGGTTCCCCTCCCAAGCTTGGAAGTGCTACTCAGAGGACACAAAGCACTGCACAAGCATTACAGCAAACAAGCCACACCTCCCTATAAGGGAGGACCAATGCACTTTTCTCAAGTTGACAAATGTGAGAAACTCAACCTTGGATTCCTGATAAATTTTGTGCAAGCTCCAGCCTGAGCTATGGGACATTCCTCTTCAGTCTATGATTTCCTGGTTGGGTTCACTGGTTAAAGTAAATATCCTCACAAAGAACACTGTATTTGTCTTTGACCAGAAGTCTCTCTCTGGTACTGATGCTGCTTGACTGTTAGCAAGCCTCCATTTCTGTAACAGACTATTCGAGCACAGTTTTAATTAGATACTTTTTATTATGATATCCAGGAAAACGATAACAAGGTGATTGCTTATTACAGCTTCCACAGATTGGGGCTCCAGGCCTTACCGGCCTGGGTACACACGCACACACACACACAAAAGACAACCCTTGCCACAAAGAACTTACAATCTAAATAAACAAAACAAAGGTAATGATGAATCTAAGAAACAAAGAGGAGGAATCACCTGCGTGAGAACACAAGATAGTTTTGGCTTGGCTTCTTGCCTCAAGTTTGAGAGCTGAAATTCCTACCCTGTTACAGTATTCCCATCACCACGGACTGATTTTTTTAAGCTGTTCATTACAATGCAAGATACATTCTTCAACATTTATAATCAACATAAGAAGTCACAGACAAAGATCAACGTCCTTGACCATAATTTCCCAATATCTTTGTTGCGTACAGCAAAACTACAATCCAGAGATTCAGAAATACTAAGTGCCATGAGATGCAACAACAGTGAATGAAATACAGAAAGCTTTGAGACTAACGAAAACATCCAGGAATACCAATTTCTCCCAGAACAGTCAGGACTCAGCAACCCCCACCCCCCAAGTATATCAAATTGTATAACATTCTTGTGTGGGGAATGAAGAAATGACAACCGCATTGTGCTGTATGATCGTGCCTGACCTTAAACATTAACCACAATAAATAAGGAGAAAAAAATGAATACTGATGAGCTATCAAATTATACAGCTACACCTTAGATGCTCCGATTCTGCAAAAAAAAAAAAAAAAAAGTTTCAAGCGTAAGAAGGGAAGGAGTTGTCATTTCTGGCACTCACATAACAAGTTTGCCAGTCTCGAGACAGATAAAAATAAAGTATTTGCAGGTACCCAAAATAAAAGTGACAGGACACATAGCAAGAGATCAAGAGCAAATGTCTTAGATTTAAAACTAGGTAGCACATTTTTTTTTCTTTTTAAACCTGAAAAAGGAGTCGTTGACTTTCTTCTTGTCAACATCAAAAGAACTTCTCTAAGAGGCAGACAGAAGCCTACTTGCAGCTGCAGCCCAGGACTCCTCATCCATCATTCACAGAAGGGGAACCGACAGTTGTAGATGCTAATAGCAGTTCCGTTTCACTGACAGAAAGGCACTTGCTAGCTGAATGTGAGCTATATTCAAACACCTCACTTGAAATATGAGTTGTATCAAAATGTATTCATCTTAAAGAGTTTCAGGTCCCATTAAACAGGTTCCGATGACACCCTATATATTGCTTTGATGTGCTGCTTTCTCCTTGCATGTTTGCTCCAGAAACACTCAGGCACTGCTTCTATTTTAGTTCTGAGAAGTACACCAAATTCCTTAATGTGTACAGAGCTAGGCTCATCAGATCCTAAACAGAGTAGTTCAGGGAGCAGTGAAAGAAGGGGACAGCAATGAGAAGAGGGCATACCCCCTCCCAGAGATCCATCACAACAATCTACAGGGGAAAAAATCAATCAATCAATCAAACAAACAAAAAAAAACAACAACCAAAACAAACAAACACAAGCTAATCTAGTGATCTAAAGATAATCCACGTCTAACAGTGTGAGAAAGTCATATACAATGAACAGACGATAGCAGATGTCAGTCCTTCGAAGAGTCCTGTTCTTTCCAAAGGATCTCTCCTAAGTTTCCCCCCAAAGCCTTAATTTTGTTGGACATTGTTATACCCAGCCCAAGGAATAATCTAAGCACTTGCTTAACAAGATGACTAGTAAGTACTACAGCCTGCAGGCATTAAACTACCATCCACCGGAACACAGTGTGTCCTGCATGCAAACTCTCAGCATGCCTGTAAATGATACAAATATCATGACTGTCTCTACTTGGTGGTGTTCAAGTCCCTTCAATACCAAAATTTTCCACACAGATCATTAGGCCAGCAATGACCAACATGGACAAGACTGCCTATTGATCCTGCTGATCCCCACCTTCTAGAATGCAGGTCCAAAGGGCTGAGTCACAAACGGAACAAAACCGAAGTATGACCTAAAAATTGGCTAGCCAACTTTTTGAGAACAGAAAAATAAACCCAGAGAAACTGAATAACCCTCCCTCCCACACACCTAGATAGAAATACAATGCAGTTCTTGCGAAGATCTCTGGAAGACCTACTTCAATACATAAAGGGTTCACGTAAACAGAAGCTGCAGCTTCTGGGCTGTTAAGGAAAGCAATCTTAGTCCTCGATCCAAGAGAAACTATGTTTTCAGAATTCCTATTTCTACATTACCAGTACCACCTTCCGCTGCTTGGAAAAACAGAAGCTGAGACAGATAAAAAGCATTTCAATAGAGAATACTGATTATTTCCCTCTCACCACAATACCTGGCAAAAGAGCCCATAAATACTTTAACAGTTTGGCATGCCAGAGCTGCCAGATGGCCCAGTTTCCTTCTAGTACTGAAAACTGGAAGGCCTTCAATAAGGTCTCCCATCTTTTACACATAGTGTAATCTACTGTCATTTTCAACCACCAAAAGTGCAGTTGAAAGGGGTGTAGTTGCCTTGATGCACGTATTCCCGGCATCTTTTCTTCTTGCTTATATATAAATACTCGTGTACCTCCAGGATTACTATCAGGCAACCAATCCAGCAGAGAAGCAACCAAGCAAAAATGTCAGGTTTCAGCTGCACCAGCTCCCTGATCAAGCCGACTGTGCAACCAGAAGGGCTTGTGCTAGAAAAAAGGGAAGAGACAGGATCCCGTATTTTGGCAGCAACCTACATTATTTTCAGTTCAGTGCAGCCATGAGAATGGCTCCCTTCCCTCCAACATCAAATTTTGCCCTTGACAAAACCACTTCAGGTGCAGTTACTTGGATACTTGCGTGGAACAAAAGGCCTGGAGATGTACTTTAACCCTTTTTACAGAAGTCTTATTACTTGTATCTTATTACTTTGTACACGCTACTTACTAGAATTCTGGATAATGCAATTCTATTAACACAACTAAAATTTTCAAAGAAACTAAGTATTTAGGAAAGATATCAAATGCTTAATAGCTACCGAATTTTCAAATACATTATCCCAACATATATCACTTACTTTCAGCATATTGTAACAACATAGCCTATGCATTTTCTTTGCACAATAAACTTGATTGTTCCTAAGTTTGAGCATGGGATCACCCAAAAGGCAGTATTTGTAAAGTGCCATCTTCCTGAATAATTTACATGAGAAATCTATTTATTTATTTATTTTTAAACTAGCCACAAGGAGAAAATGTCCAGGTAAGAGCAAAACCTGAAAATTAATTTCAGCTGCTCTGCATTCCGTTTGCACTTGGAAGTTGTATATAATTACTTAGTAAAAGTAAAGTCCTGGCTTTGATAACAAATCCTGGCACATAACCTGAACATACATTTAGAGCCAAAGAGTCTTGAAATCATCTACTGCAAGTCTTGAAAGCATTCTGACAAGGCAGAGGGGCCTTAAGAAAACAGAATAAAAACCCTAACCACAGTCTCTATGAATCATTCAGTTCAAATCCATCTAACATGGACAAAGCCTTCTTTTTGTGGAATCTAGTAATTCACCACGATAAATAACTACAGCCTAAGCAAAATTTTTTATTAGGCATAAGAATATTATAATAAGTTCTTCAGTCATTTCCACTTCTGAACTTCCTGATTCCATAATCATGAAAACATGATTAGACAACTTAATCTTCCAGCTTACTGGACCCCAGATTACAAAGAGCCAAAATGCAGTAAGATTTGAAAAGCAGAATTTTAAGCAACTCAAAAGCAGTTGTCCAGGCAAACGAGAATGATCTTATGCCAAAGCAGATAATAACAAATTGGAAAGAGAAGTCTCAAAATCTTCTAAATTCATGAGGGTTTCCACCCTAAGGAAGAAATTTAAAAATTATTGCTTCTGCAGGAAGTCAAGAATGCCTCCTCCCAAACTCTAAATAGGGATTTTTAGGTATGACACAAAAGATGAAATAAACTGGTGTTCAATACTCTGTTCAAACCCAAGAACAACAGAAATAATTCTCTATTACTTGGCACAAAGCATCAGCTCCTATAAGGCAAGGATGAAGATTAAGTCATCACGGAAATAAAAGTTCTTTTTGTAAAGTTCAAAGGCCAAGAACATCCATAAGGCCAACAGGAGACAAAAAGCAATGTCAATATTAACAGGCAGGAATATACTCTTCTGAAGTTTTTGGAAGAGAACCTTAAGTTTACATTTCAAGACTCCTGTGGCAAAGAATGAGCTTTACAGGAAACAGTTTGCCTCAGGGAAACAACCACCAGACTCCAATGTCTCAAAGAGCTCAAGAAGTACCTTAAAAGCTCTCTTCACAATTTGTTCCTCCACCCCTTATGATTTTGACAGCACCAAGACAAACAGATTATCACAAACAAACTGATTTAGAGTCAAAGTACCAGACAAGAACTTTAAATATTTGCCCCTTTTGGCTTAAGGTACAACTTGAGAGAGCAAGGCACAGAATCTATGAAGGTCTTTGTTAGAAATATCAGACATGAAACATGATTTTGTGCAGTATTTAATGTATGCCATTCCCCCAACATTTCTGAATTCCAATTTTCCAGTTTCATGGTCAGATCGGATAGACTCACAGTTGTGCTACTTGAGTTTTATTTCTGCAGATCAATACATGATATAACTATTTCTACTGAAGCAGACTGGGTGTATTGCAGGGCATGCTGCCCCAGAGCTCTCAAGTTAAGCAAGTCCAATTCTGTCAAGTCCACTTCAGGAGCTGTGAAGCAAGCACTCAAGAACTGTGACTTAAATTAGCTGAAACATGTAATAAATTATACTGTAATAACTCTAAATAGCACTATATGATTGAAGAATGGATAGTTACATGTAGTCAAGATTTTGTACTAGAAATGTTTATTCTGTATAGTAAGCAACCAAACTGTATAAGATACAGAATGCAGATTTATTATTTTTTGGGGTATAAACTAAACTATAGTAACAGTTTTAATTAAACTATTTTATTTATCAGGTTGATTGCTTATAATTACTCCTACTCAATCAATAAGCAGTCTAATACTTGGGTTAACTTGAAAGCCTGATTTAGCAACTTCTTAAGACTGAATAAAAATCTTTAACTCATTCCCAAGTTGAATTACTCCCATTACAAAAGGATACAGAGGAAAAACATTAACTGCATATTAAACTGGAAAATCAACTGGACAAGGCTTCACATTTAATACCATTATGAAAGACAGATAATGGAAAAAATCTTAAATTAAGATTTTTCCAGCTGTAGCAAAGGGCACAATAAACCAGTTTTAAGAAGTTGTAGCTTTTAAATATTCTTTCATAAAAATATATATAGGAGAAATCAAACTATTTCCTAACAGAGGTAAAACAAAGCAAAGCAGTTAGAATAAAGGAATGTTTGTCAAAACTTGATCCATTTATCTAACAAATTCCCTCTTCACAGAGCATTAAATGCCTCCTAGGACAAGCACAACGACACACTGTAAGAACCTCCACCCTCTAAAATCAGAAAGACAAGTTTTCAAAGAAGGTCCAACGCACACCAATTCTCCAAGATATGTACACTTTTAAAAGCACAGACGGGAGTTAACAGTGCTACTCAAATGAACACTTTCAATGACATGCACTTTCCCTTCTAATTTTCAAGTGCTAAAGCTGTATCTCAGAAAGGTTTTTTGTTCCTTTAAGGATATTTCTAACCAACAAGCAATAAGACTCTGCAACATTTCCAATTAGTTCAGTTTTGTTTTAATGATATGGGGCAGTTCTTAGAGCAGACATTGTGTAGCCAATAACTACAAAATAAAAAGGTTTACTGGTGTGGTCTTAGAATTCCAATTTGAATTGTGAATTTGAATCAAGGTAATTAACCGAAAAGCTAGAATATCTGCAAATGCACACTAAGTTTTCACTTGATTTTGCAATACTTCTTGAAGAACTTGGAAAAAGTGAAGTTGGTAAACAGTATATATCACCAATATTACAAAAACTGGAAAGAAATAATACATTGCATCAGTGATCCTCATTAAGTGAAGTTATCATCACAGTAAGTGTTTAAAAAAGTGTCAATGTTATTTAAAAAGTGTTGTGACCCCCCCACCCCCCCCAAAGTGTTTGTAGACAGATAAACCTTTTTTTCTTAGTCAAAATGGCTTTTAAAAAAAGTTTCACAAAACAATAGCAATAATCAAAAAACATGATTTGTATTTTCTTTAATCTATAACATCTCTAGTGCTGAAGGGCCATCCATGTAAAAAGCAGATTCTTTGGGGACATTAGTCAATTAACTTAATAAAACCCAGTTTTACGAGGATTTATCCTTCCTGCTGCGAGGCGAGTCTGCTCCATTTGAGGTCACTGTTCCATTTATTCCATTTTCTAAAAAATAATAAAAATATAATATGTATTTTTCAAGTAGAATAAGACACTTTATTATTACATTTTAGTAGGCCCTACACAAACAATGTTAACTTCTTTTCTGATGCATCTTATTTGTTACATCTCAACTTTTATGATGCAATAGTACAATGAAGCTTTTACAAAGTTCAGAATTTAAAGTTTACTATGCAAACTGAAGGTCCAATTTCCTGACATGACAAATATTGAAATGTTTGCATTATATTACATCTAAACTGAAAATCAAGATTAGCTGTAGTATTTTAGAAGGTATTTTCTTACAAAGAGAAATATTCAACCTGTAGATGAGACAATCCTATGTAGTTTTGGGATCATACAGTATATACAGTTCCCAGGTATAAGTCTCAACCGTTTTCCCACCTGATTTATTAATATTTGATAAAACTGGACTCTTTAACTTACCTTTACAAGCTTTTTATATATGTAGGAAAACTGTATATGTGTATATATGTATAAATAAAAGTTTAATTAATCATATACTTTTAAAAAACATAGAAATCATTTATGTTCTGAAGAAAATATTTGAATAGGTAGACTTGAGAGAAGTATGGAAAGACTTCAAGCACAAGACTGGACACCCATCTAAGAACACAATGGAAGAACCTGTTACCAGCGGTAGCTCTCACATTTCAATCCAAATTCTCGACTTACAAGGTCTTAACAGTTTTAGTACGTGCAGGTACCACGTTGTTGAGTATTTCATAGCAAACATTTGCACTAAAACAATGACCCAACATCTACAGATACATCACACACACAACAGAGTAAAACAGAGCAACATGATACCACTGTGAATTAAAGTATCCTCTTTATTTAATGTCACCACGACCCATGGAAGCACAGCTGTTGCCTGACAGTAACCAAATTTACAGAACAGATCTGAAGAGCATAAGTGCACAGTCAGCTCTACTGCCTGCTGCTTACATCAGACTCTGATCATTCAGCATCATTCTGATTTCAAGCAATTGCTGTAACTGCCAATACAAATAACTGGCTAAATTCACATTTTCCATATCCAGGTGTGTTGCAGATCACAACACAAAAACAACTGCTGACGTTCCTTCTTCCCTCCTTCCCTCACTACACCCAATACTCCCATTTATGCAAACAAGCAACTAAACAGAAGTAATGAAAAATAAAATAAAAATCAGAAACATATATGAGAAAGAGACTGGTCACAGGTCTACACAGGAATAGTTCAAGTCTGCTTAACTTTATTTGGTTGTAAATGACACCACCCTTTTAAGTTTATGTCTTCAGATTCCTATCAAAAATTTGGGGTTATTCTTGATTTACAAAGCTTACAAATGATAAGCTAGACCCAAGCCAGCCAACTGAGATTGCATTTCCTTAAAGAGATAAGTAAAAAGTAAAGTAAAAACAAAGAACAAAAATATTTATTTTGGGGTTCCCCTGGGTATCCCACATACATGATCAGAATTTTTCTGCTGTCACTTCTTGATTTTGGCACAGTCCAAAAGAAAGATACTCTGTGCCCTGTATCCCAAAATCTATCTAGCCAGCCAGATAGAGAAAAAGACTGCTTTAAACACACCTTCATTGACTATATTACTTCTCAGAAACAGCGGTTTGCTGCATCCTATTCAAGTGTTCTGAACAAATAACATTACAGGGATCTTCAGATTAGAAGAACCTGAAACACCTTTGGGATTTTAAAGTTCTTTTTTTTCTTTCCATTTAAAATTAGCTGCAAAAATTCCTCAGTCTTTAAGACGGTTTTAGCTCAATTATGTTGAGAATTAAACCACAAATCAAATTAAATGTTTTTTTTTTTTTCTATTAATTTACCTCTTTCAAGTCTCTACTCAAGTTGAGTGAAAAACAGCGAATTTGCCAAATTACATGAATGAAAGTTTCATTTTCAAGAGATTTAAAAGCTGTATTTTTAACTCGCTGATTAAAATGCTATTTAAGTTTACATTTTATGGATATTTCTATTTAACTTTTTAAATGAGTTCGACAAAAAAAAAAAAAGACATAACAAACATTAAGCTCAGATTCAGTGTGACAACTACACATTAAATAGGCTCACTCAATAAAAAGGGAAAATCCAACCATGTTTTTCTATTGCTATCATATAAACATTTTCAAAATCTACAAAACCAAACCAAGACCAAACAAAAAAACAAAAAAAATCAGACTGTCACCTGAAGTACTTTTAAGTTAGCATTGGGCAGTAAAAGGAAAAAAACTACAACATCAATCACCAAGTCATGCTAATAAAAACGATCAAAAAAACCTCCACAAATACGCTATTATGCACGTGATTTTAATATAAAGAAAAACTTATACATGTAGGTTGAAAATTTACCTCTGATCATAAATCTCAGTATAACTGTTTTTATACACTAAGTTCTACGTATCAAAAAAGTGGAACAGGTTGGCAACAAACGATCATGGGTAAAAAGTTTTTGTGGTGACTCAGTTTCAAAAAAGCGCACAAACTTTTCAAGCTAACATTTAACTAAAGAGAAATTTAACAGTATAACAGAAACATTTATTTATTTACTTAAAGAGAATACATCATTTTCCTTTGAGGAAACTAGGCAGACTATTTGTCTTTCTTGCCCTCTTCATAAGAGGAGTTTGACATAATCGAAAGGTCAAACCAAGAGCCATTAATACAAAGGTTTAAAGTAGTAAGCAGTTATTACCTTCCTTTTTTTTTTTTTTTTTTTTTTTTTAAAAAAAAAGGCATCAAATTTTTTATTTTAGTAAAGACAGTCAAGCATAAGCTTATTTGCTGGATCATCAAACCACCTTCCCCTAAAACCTGAGTTTAGTGGCACTGAAAAACTTACTTGAAACTCATTGCAAGAAAAATTTAGAAGTATATGATTAATGAGAACATCTAAAAATGTGTCCGTTCCCTTTTTGTAACTGAACAAAACATAAGCATGACACATTTTGCACAAGTAATAAAATTAGATCTTATAAAATCCAATCCTGCATTAACTGAAGAAATAGTAATTCTTTCATTCAGTTAATTAGAAAACCAAACCCTTAATTACAGATGACTCATGTTCATCTTTTCTTAAATATAAAAGAATTTTCACTAATACTGTTTTATAACTGACTCGTCTCACCTGAGAGCTAAACATAAAAAGTTTAAGCAACTATATGAAAAAGGGCTCCCTGTTACTTAAAGTTGTTTTTTGAGAAGTAAAAGCAACAAGAAACCTGAAAATACCAACCTCTTTCTTTTCTGGAGGTCTTTCCTTTAGCCGTTACAAACTTCTTTTTCACTGTCTGAGGCTGGGAAGAAGAATGTTCTCTCCATCTCCGAAGCTGGAAATTAATGAACTTCCACATCATAAATGCTTGAGCCATGCAGATGGAGGCCAGCACACTGATTCTAAGGGAAGGAAAAAAAAAAGACAAAAAACACCAGATATAAAAGTTTATCAATATGTTCATCTTGTTCAAAGTGGAAAGAAAAGTAGAATAGTGCCTCACACAGTTTTTTATATGTCAGAAACAGCTTATTTTACTCAGGTTCCACAAATGCATTAGAGTGATTCTTTCTGGATTATGCATAAGTAAATGTTCTTACATTGGCATTGTAATTTTTATTTGTATTTAATTCATTAGAAGGACAGATGATTGATTATACTTATAGATTTCTCACCTGTAGAGTGTAAATTATTCACTTTATTGTTACTTTACAAGTTTGTTACTGAAGCTACTATTGATCCCACTAGGTGCAAGAAAACACTTAATCATTCAGTACTAGCATGAATACCACAGAGTTTATATTGTGTATTTAACACAGGTTTATAGCTCATGCTTAAGAACCATTCCGTTTACTGTACCTAACAGCCAGGATGTTAAAGTTTCCAGTACTGAAATTCAGCTGTTGATCTTCTGCTCTTGCCAGTCCAAAGCCAAAAGTGAGGACTGAAAGTATCAAGGTGAGAAGCCTTCCCAAAACAAAAAGAACTGCCCACAGTGAAAATCTACAAAGAAAAATATCACAAACACTATTAGAATTCTCTGTTCACACCACCACAAGGACTAACAATGCAAATATTTATTCTTAACTATGTGAATTCATCTGAGAACTTGATTAAAGTCATTATTTTGTTCTTACCGTAAACTAATGTTGATTTCCAGTACTCAAAGACAAAAAGAAAATCCCTGCCTAGCAATTTTTTCTGAGCCAGAACTATGTTCTGAAAATTATTTTCAACTCAACAGAAAGTGTCTGTCATTGCTACTAGAATGTAAGCATGTTCCTACAAAACTGATTGCATTAGCAACTTATGCTGTTGCCTTCCCTATGAGAGCTGTACATGAAAACATTTTTTTTTTTTCAAGTAGTGCGAGACTTGATTTCGATTTATACAGCTACTAACATTTACTTGTATAGGTGAGTAAGTGAAAAAAAAGAACAAAGGTGTTTTAAAGACGTAAAATACTTAAATGAGTTTGGAGAACTGTGGCTTCTAATGAAATAATGAATGAATTTCCTTGTAATTCTGGCTTCTGGTTAAGTTAAATGCATGAGGCTCGTGAGACGGAAATGACCACTTACCCTTTCTGGTATCTTTCATCACTGAAGTAGAAAAGACGGGATATGTGGAAAAGAAATTCAACGAAGTAATGCAATACCAGAAGAACAAGTCCAAGATGGGTCAGACTGTAAAAGCAAATAGAACAAGCATTCAAACATTTTGTTAGACGTTTAAGACAGTGATTGAAGACTACAAAACTTTACAACTGACTTACTTTAGGAGATAGGCTCCAGCAATATGAAAGAGATAAAGTCCGATGTATACAATTTGGCGAAAGATATCCTCCTATTAACAAGAAAAAAAATAATTATATATTATACATGATGTCATACATTATTTTACAATGTTATACGTTACTACAGAGTATTTCCTAGTCTTGGAAATTATTTTTGTCTTCCCAGCTACCTTGATGTGGCCTGTTCTGACACTGAGCCTAGATTACTCAGCCTAGATCTTCTAATTCCACACGACTTACCATGTGTTATTGGTAAGTAAGCACTATCTCACATACATTATGTGAGAAGATGCATCAAAAAGATGCTTTTTAGAATGGCAATTTTTTCTTTGATATGACTTATCTGAATTTGTACTAGTTATTACAATACTTCATTAGTATGTAGTACTGTATCTTCAGAAAACCTTCTTCAGTTCTATGTGTTTTTGCTCAGATTCTGTCAGATCACTACAGGAATAAAATGAACCAAAATGAAGAAGTTTACAGGTGTTGACATCTGTTTTAAAAAAATCAAGATTTTAGCCAACCTCATTCAATCACATGCTTCATAGAAGCAAAGTAATAAAGATGAAGAAACATGAAAGAAAACAGAGTGTATGGAAAGCAAAAGGTACCACCTGTGAACAGAAGAATCACTGCAGTGGACTATTATTGTGACCTAGTGTTTCTCTTGAAATGGTATGTAGAGTTGTATGCATTTGTGCTCAAGAAATCCCTATTTTTCTGAAAGATTCCCTAAGCTTCAAGTAAGGGGCTTCAGTTTTGTCTTGTACATATGTAAATTAAAAATACAAAATTAATCTTTTAAGATCTGTGTTATGTTTGCAATACTCCACCTCAAAACCAACAAAAGCTCAGAATGAAATGCTCACTTGTGACAACACCTAACAACACACGTACAGAGGTACAGAGAAAACAGATGAAAACCTTTAAATTATCCGAAAGAAAACAAAAAAAAAAATGTATCAGGCCGATCAAAGAGTAGTCAGTACAAATACTCAGGTTCTCCAAGCACTACTAGTACAAGCCTTTTGCATTCTATTTTCAGAACCAAGGCAACACTTAAATAGCCCATGCTGCCTGCTTAAACAATTGTCAAGAGACTTATGGCCTACTGGAAAAATGCAGGTGGGTCTCCACTACCATACAGAAAGCTGAGTTAAGAACCCTTTCTTCATGCTTTTTATGTTAGTAGATGACTAACCTAAGTAAAAAAAGCCAATTCTTTCAAGAGAAAAAATACGGCAGAGATGCCAAGATAGGTGAGGTTACAGTGTGATGAAAGAAATAACAACTATGAACTTGATAAAATAAATGAACCATTACCCTTAAAATAAATCAACCATTACTCTTAAAACTAAATAATATAGGCTAAAATTCTAAGCAGTGACCCAACAAAACACTACTGTGGAATATACAGCATTTTTTATAGCTTTCTTAAAGTTACATTAAAAGCAAAAACAGAAAAACAACCAACATTTGGATATTAATTCAAATTGTACAGCTATAACTAGCACAATAGGAGAGTGTTAGCTGAAGTGTCTGTAAAACATCAGTGTTTATACTGCTTGTGAACAGTAAAAAAAAAAAGCACCTCATTACTATTTTCCCAAGCCTGCTCTAGGCTCTTAAACAAAGACCTATGGTTATATAACACGTATGTTTCATTTTCTTGAAAAAAAGCAGAACTCTGACAGCAGAGACTCAGTCTAGTCATAGAGCAACAAGAGAAGAGTTTAAAAAGGAAACTGTGCATACAAAATGAGCCTGAGGAAAGAACATGCAAAGAGACTACTTAAATTGGTCAAGGTAGGTAAAAGACGTGCTACAAAAATCTACAGGAAAACTCAGTGTTAACAGTTGAATTCTGAGAAACCCAAGAGAGAAAACTCTCAGGTGGCAAGGGTGCTGTAAAAATCCACCATCAAAAAAATCAATACAAAACTATCTAGAAATTCTGCTGAGGACAGTGGTATTTACAACAAATCCTGATGTTTAATGTTATTTGGATTTACCAAATTATTCGCTGCTTATTTTCATCACCTGTATTGTGATTTGTGAAGCAATTCTGTATTTCAAGGAGATTATTCAGACAATTAATTACAAGAATTTTGAAAAGAGTTTGAAAAAAAAAAAAAAAAGCTCTGATTTTTTTTTCCTCAAAGGAAAATTCAAACTCTTATAGTAGATGAAGTAGACCAGTGATTTGTATTTACACAACAGATATACAGTGATTTTACTGCATTTATAAATACAGGATTTAGTTGAGAAGAAGTCATCAGCATTCTCACATAGACATCTGGGCACCCAAAATGCCAGCAAGAAAAAACTTAAGTACACTGATAAGAACACGGTATGAAATGTAGCACATTGCTCTGGAAGTCCAAAAGAAGTGCATCATTCCACTGCCAGAGTTGCTTTGTTTGGCATTCTTTCCATTTACATTTTGTACTTACTTTTTTGGTTTTCTGGAAGTACAATTCTGGAAAAGCATGAAACCAGTATGCCAACTGTAAGATGTAGAAAAACTTCATTTGAAACCTGCACAATATAGCAAGAATTGAGGAATATTACTTTTTATTAATGAACTTAAAATGTTTCAGAAACTTCATTGTGAACACATTTAATCAGTCTCTAAAAAAAGAAAAATAGAGATCTTTGTTGCCAGCCAACTCAATTCTCAGCAGCATTTCTAAATATCAAATAATAAAAATCATACAAATAAACTCGCAAAAATATAATTCCTTAAATTACTTGCAAAAATGTAAATTCCTTAAAGCATACAGAAAGATGACTCTATATTCTATACATTAAAGAAGAATAAAGATTCTCCACCAATGCAAAAAAAAATACATCAGTGACTAATGTAGTTTAGATTATTTACTCTACACAAATTGTATATGACATACCCTGAGTTTAAAATGCCAACACCCTTCTCCTCCCCCCAACAATCCTTTAAGGAAGAAGCCTTACGGAATCAGAGTGTGTGGGTAGTCCCTCCACAGAGAGGTTGGATCTGATATATAGTTCTCCTAAAACAAACAAACAAAATGAAAACTCTTGAAGTTACCCAATGTTGTTACTTCCTAGTCAGAAATAACAATTGCACATAAATACACGTATGTATGTGTACACATACAATTATTGAGACATCTACACGTAAGTAAAAGCTGTAGATTGATATATTACCCCACAAAAATACAAACAACAATAAACAAAAATAAAAAATGTATTATCTTAAGAGAAAAAAAAAAGGCAACAAAACAAATCAAGTTCCCATTGAAGAAGAAAGGAGTCCTTATGAGACAGAGGTCATTTCAGCATCATTACAGCTGCAAGTCTTCCCTTACGAACTGCTGACAAGCTATGAACATAACTAAGGGGTGTAAAATTTATTTAGGACATGTTATGTTACATTTTTTTTTTCCAAAAATTTTAAATTTCTATTATCATTAGATGGTTCCACACTAAAGAACAGGCTACTACTACCAGGGAAAAATAATTTAGGAGCCTACAATAAATCAGATACTTCTCAGTAAATGTCCAGGCATGTGGGAACAAAAGATGGCTTACCCCCCTTTTTTTTTTCTGAGGGAAGAAATGCTCTACAGCTGGGGATAAGCTCATACATGTACAACTGCTAGGCAAAGAGCATGTCATCTGAAAACACACTTAAGCCTACAGCAACCTGTCCATATACCCACTCCATAGGCTGCCAAAATACTATATATGATGCTTTTTTTAATCATTTATTTTACAATAATGAGACAGCATTACTTTTTTAAAAGTCACGTTTTAGTTTATTCATTTAACAGTAAATCCAATTAACTGAGACTAAGCAAAAGTGAAGCTCTCCGAATTTTTACTTATACTACCACTACCCCAGAATTCTGAAACCTGTCCCTGCTTTAATATTAAAACCAGCTAAAACCATGAGCTGAAAAGTTATTTATCATTATAAGTATGTGAACTTGTGTTTGTATTATGAGATTTCAAACAATGAAACATACTTACAGAGACAAGAATGCTTGTGCCCCAAACACAGGAGAAAAGGTAGAATGCACTAAGTTGCCCAGACTCATTGAACTTGCTATGCTTTGTTTTTGAAAAGTGCATTTTCCTGTTAATTTTCTGCAATGAAAATCCATTGTTATTTACATGCTCTAGCACTTAGCATTTAGATGTTAACTGCATTAGAATGTCTAAAAGTTTCAATGCATTGTCTTACCACTTTAATGCTTTAACGCACAAATTTACTTTTAAGTTAGTCATAAAGTCTAATTAAAAAACTGACAATTATCTTGATGAAAGCAATTAATATTTTGTACTTACATCCAATACGTACTCCTGAATAATAGCATGTATGATTATTGCTACAAGCATGTAAAAGAAAATTGTAGCCAAGTCCTTGATACCATAATGATACAGAGAGATTGTTTCTGAAGATTGTTCTTCTAAAAGACAGAAACAGAGTTAAATGTTAGACACTGATACAGTTTAATTGCTACCAAGTTTGTTTCTTAAAGTAAAACCTTTCAGACAGAAGTCATTTGCCATCAACTGAACAAATACAAGTCAGATTAAACTGCCATCACGAGCTAGGTCACTAGAATCTATTTACAATTCTCTTCATCAAATCACAAACTAAACTTGATCCTGGAAGAATGCAATATAAAAATGAGAATTTAAGTGCACTTAGGAAGCTTACCCAAATGCATTGAAAGTCTAAATGCATTGAAATCTAAAGTTATGTTAAACTATCACCTTTCCATTGACTAGCAAAAAAAAAAATTATAATTTGCAAAATCAGAATAAGAATTAACATGAATTTATCTACTAGCCTGACTGGGTTTTAGTATTAAGGATGAATCCAACAGAAAAGATACATCTCACCTAACATGATTCAGTAAAAGTTTTACTTAACATCTATTCAAAGTTAGTAATTCATCTTACTATCAATTTAGAAAACACAGCACACTAACAAGAACACTGTCTCGTGAATAAACACCTGCAAGACACATACCTGTGGCAGGAATGGTAACATTATACTGAAGTGTAACAAAAATGACAGCTGCTTTTGCTGTAATCTGAAAAAGAAAAAACAGAAGTGCTGTAAAAATCTCATTGAAATAAGTTATATTAAACTGAAAACTGGTTTTGGTACCCTTCCCCAGCATGTCTGTCCCCTCCTAAGAAAATGATCAGCTCACATTATCAAGCCATTTCATTTGACTTTCTAACAATAGAAGAGACTGCATGATCTCTACAGATCTGTTTACAGGAATAATTTCAAAAATTCTGCTTACAAATAGTATTTTCTATCTTGAAGTTAGAGCACACACTGAAATTCTTTATCCAGTGCACATTATTCTTTATCCAGTGCATATTATTACTAACAGCATGTACGATGTCCTGTAATTCCTAGACCACAATGTGTGCAGCAATGGACGAGAATAAACTCATTTAAAATTACTTTTTAATTTGACAATTTTTGAGGGTTAATATCATATTTCTAAACATGTAAGTTATTTGAAAAATGTGAACAAGGAAGAAAAGGCATAAAGAAAAGAGAACTGTGCTAGCTGCGTGCCAACTCACTACAACTGGCACTTGACCCTGGAGATCCCTTGGCAAAGAAAAAAAAAAAAAGAACAAATACAATTTAGCAGTAGTTATGCCACCCCTTTATGAGGGACAGCAAGAAAAATCAGAGTGAATGGAAGAGGAAGGGGAAATATGTTTGTTCTGAAGTGTTCTTTGGGCAGGGGTATGGCATCATAAAAACACCAAAAAAAAAAACACACAAAAACAAACAAACAAACAAAAAAGCAGCAGTTCTTATCTGTCAGTAATCATGAATTAATGTTTGAGTTTTTGACATCTTTGTTGAATCCCAACCAAGAGCATGAATCAACACAACAGAGCAGGAAATATTACCATGCTTTACAATGTTCATGATCTGATCTGTTTCCCACTGGTATAAAAACCTGGCATCATCCCTGCTTCATCTCAAGGATTAATAAAAAACATCTCTAAGATTCTTGGAAGGATGCCTTGGTATCTGAAGATAATCATTAGATTACTACCAGCAATTACCATCATTTAAAATATATTTTTTTCATCTTTTAAACTAGCACTTTGTAAACAAGCAGTAGATTTTCTGGGAATCCTTGAATACATTGTGGAGTGCTCACTTTGTGTAACTTCAGGGAACCTAACTAGTTTGCCTCCGTTAGCTGCCTAGGGCTTCCTATACATCAAGGGAGCTTCCAGAGGACAATCCAAAACATTAGTCAATTCTCAACTGCCCTTTGAAGGCTCTGTCAACCACTCCAAGTCCTAATTCAGTTAGTCAAGTCATTAGAAGTACCTTACCATACCAACACTAACCAAACCAGGTGATTTCCAAGACCTATATCAAAGCGTTTCAAAAATTAAAGCAATCTTTTCAAGCCACACCACATCTGTACCGGCAAAGACATATGGCTCTGCTATGCTGGGGTAGAAAACATCCTCAAGTGAAAACCTCAGCACATCCAACCCACTCAACACTTCCAGAGCTACCATTAACACAGTAAATACAGTAACCCAAAAGTATACATGAATGGTATTGGGTTAGTCCACGTCTTTAACCTCAGACCCCACAAACCACCAAACGAGGGCTGTCTGCGGTGACTTTTGATAGCAAACCCAAACATAATGGCTTTCTTGGTGTGCCTTGTTTTTTCTTTTCCATATGTTGTTATTTTTACTCAACTCCACTTTAGGGCCGAGCAGCATCAAAGGCCGAATAGAATTACTCTGAAAACCATCCCCATGGCAAAAAAAAACACCCACAACCCTTCAACAAATGGCTTCTGGTGTATCAAGCGAACAGAAATGGACGCGTGGTCCTGTGACAGGCAACCCCTGGGCAACCACACAGGCAAATCCCCTTGCGGGGTCTCTCGATAGGAAGGCCTAAAAAAAGAGTCAGTGTGGGTCAGAAGCTAAGCTCGAGGGGGTTTATTCATTTATTGGTGTATTTATTTATTTATTTTAAACCAAGTTTCGTGGAGGCGGGGCCGCCGTCCCGCCAACCCCAGCTCCCCCCCCCCCCCGGCCCCGTCAGGCGGCGCGCGGCCCCGCGGCTCGGTGGGGGGGCGGGAAGCCACGTGTGCGCGCCCCGTACGTACACGTCACCGCTCCTTTCCCTTCCCCCTGCGGGATTGGCGGGAGGGGTGCCGCAAGGCCTCACGGGAGCTGTAGTTCCGGCGGGGCCCGTTGGGGCAGCGCACACAAAGAGCGCGATGGGGCCGCAGCGCCAGGGCCTCGCCCCCCCCCACCCCCCCCTCCTCCCCGCTCCCTCCACCCCCTTCTCCCGCTTCCCCCCCCCCTCCTCCCCGGGCAGAGCGCGGCCGCGCACCGCGCACCCCTCCCCCGGCCCAGTGCCACGTCGCCCCGCCGCCGCCGCGGGGGGACCGAGCGGAGCCGGGGCACGGCCGAGGCGGGCGGAGGGGGGCGTTCCCGGGGATGGCGCCCGGCCGGGCTCCGGGCTCCGCGCCCCGCACACGGCGGGGGCCGGGGGCGAGGCAGCCCCCCCGGGGGGTGTCCCGGCGGCTCCCGCAGGGCGTGCGCTCGGCGGGCAGGCGGCAGCCGCCCCGCTCCTCGCCTCTCCTCTCCTCGCCTCGCCTCACCTCGAACATGAGCCCCAGCAGGAAGATCATGGCCATGCAGGACACGATGTCGGCGTGGTTCTGCACGACGAACTCGTGGCTCAGCACCGGCGGGTTCTTGTTGCTCTTCTTGCGGATCGCCATGGCGGGCCGGCAGCCGGGCTCCGCCGCCTCCCCGCTGCCAGCGCAGCTCCTCTCGCCGCGGCCAGGAAGAGGCGGAGGGGGGGGGGGGGGGAGGAAGGGGGAAGGAGGAGGAGGAGGAGGAGGAGGCGGCCGCGCGGCGGGGGAATGGCAGCCGCCGCCGCTCCGCTTCACCCCGCCCCGCCCGCCGCGGCCCCGCCGCTGCCCGGCCGCAAGGAGCAGCCGCCGCCAGCGCCCCTGCCGGCCGGCGGGGAGCCTCCACCGAGCGGCCCCCGCGGGGAGAAGAGGCCCGGCGGTGCCCGGAGCCCCCCGAGGGCGGTGGGGGGAGGAGGGGGAGACCGGCCCCGCGCACAAAATGGCGGCGGCGCGCGGCCGCCTCAGCTGAGCCGAGCTTCGCCGCTGCTCCGAGCCCGGCTGCGGCCGCTTCTCGCCTCCCTGGCTCTCGCCGAGCTGTGTTTATCGTTAGGCCTCTCCCCGAGCTGCGGGTGGAGCGGGGGGAAGGCTCGGCTCGCCGGGTTTGTCGCGGCTGTAGCTGAGGCACAGCCGGAGGGTGCCGCGAGCAGGCGGCGGGCTCCTGGCGTCCCGTCAGCTTACGGCCCGAAATAACGAGCGTGGTCCGAAAAGTTGTCCGAGCAGAAGGGCAGGAAAGCTGAACGGGAAATAGGGAACGAGGGAAAGTCATTAAAAGGGAGGTAAGACGTGGATAAAACAAAAAGCCACCCACTTCCAAATCAGAAAGCTGTTTTGGACCCAATATAAACAAATCTAAGAAAAGTCAGCACAGTTAAGGAAACACAATAACTCCCCCAAATCATACTAGTTTTGTTAAAGCTTCCAGCTGACAGATATTCACAATGGATACATGGAGGAGATCAACCTCTAGAAAAGGTGTAGCTTATGGCTGAATTTAAGCATTGTCAGCAGGGGTTTTGCTGCCAGCTGCTAACGAACCCTGATGTTACGATGCAGCTATTCAGATCAGTTTTGCCTCATCAGAGCTGAAAGCAGAGCGTGCACCACAGACGGTCTATGTCTGTGAACCGGTTTCTTTCAGTGTGGACCAGTGACTTGGAGATCAGGCTGACTAGTGTAGGACCAGGCATCGCATCTACTTTTTGACATGCCTGAACTCATGAATAAAAACTAACTATAAAAGAGGGAACTGTCCCTGTGATAAATTTTATAATTATTTAGAAATATCGGATATTAGGAAGAATTTCTTCATGGGATGGTTGGGTAGGCATTGGAATGGGCTCCCAGGCAAGTGGTGGAGTTGCCACCCCTGGAGGTATTTAAGAGATGTGTGTATGTGACACTAAGGGGCATGGTTTACTGGTGGACTTTGTAGAGTTAAGTTGATGGTTGGACTTGATGATCTTAAGGGTCTTTTGCAATCTAAATGATTGTTTTATTCCATGATTCTATTTCACCTGAAAGTTCAACTGAAACTTCATTAAAAATGCCCATATAAATAATGTGTGTGTATATATATATATATATATATACACATACACTTACCAGTATTATTATGCTTACATTAAAAGTACAATACTCCAACAATGCAACTCTGAAATAATGTTCAAAATGTTTTGAATAGTCCATTTCTAGCAATGTGACTGAGAAGAATGACATCAAGTTAGCTGAAACATATTGTCTATCATGTTTTGTCATACTCTGTTGGTTTGTTTTCCATTTTACTTCACAGTTCCATGTTTTGTAGACTAAAAAACAGAAATTTACCAGGCTTGCTACAGTAGTCACTGCATTTGAAAGCAATGTGCCAAAATTCAAGCAAGAAAAAGTCTCTTATTAGAGTCTTTTCTTAAAAAATAAATACATACTAGAGTGTTTATTTTTAAAGTAATATTAATTTCCCCAGTAACACTTTAGAAGCACCGTTCCCTTGCAATTCCTAGATGTAAAACCTGAGACAAAAATAAGTTTGTTGTCCTAGAAAGGAATAGCTCAAGTGCTTCGTAACACCAGCTATCAGACTCATATCTCCCCAGTCTACTTCCTGTGTTGCTTTTATCAGAACACTAGACCAAATGTTGGGCTGTGTGTAGGCATGAAGAAACAGTAGGACAAAAGTGCCTCAGAGCCTCCTGGAAGTAACTTTCTTTGGCATCCATTAACTGTAAGAGAAAAAAACAAATAAAACAGAAAAAAAAAACAACGTACTGAGTGTGACACTTCAGTGGTAAGGGGGTTGGGGTTTTGGAATTAGTTCTTGGGCCACAATCAGAATTTCTGTATTTATCAAAACTGCTTTAATCAGCAGGCAAATAAAGGAAACAAAGTATTGGGGAAAGAGAAGAACAAGGCAAAGTAATAAAGGGGGAATAGGGAATGAAATGATCAATATGGGCAGAAAGAGGACAAAAGGGTTAAAGGCAATCCCCCAAAACAACAGTAAGACAATGTATCATAGAATAACCTTTTGCTGCTAAGCCCCAAGCTCAGGTTGAGAACTGTAATATCCCTCAATCTATTTTCTGAGAGCTGTTCAGGTTGCCAATATACAGCTGCAGTATACTTCATGTAGGAAAAAGGAAAACCAAAATAATCCAAAAACCATGCAACAGCAAGAAATAATGATTCTTAACTTGGCACACAGCGCTGTTGCTTAGGAGTTTAAATGACACTTGTCAACAAAAGCCAGATTTATGCTCAGGCTCAAGCATTAAATCAAGAATTTTCACAGCCAGAGTATATTGCAACGAATAAAACTTAGCTGTGAAGATTCTCAGAGGTTCTGTATAAATTTATTGAATTAGGGAGATGGGGATACTGGTTAACTGGAGATGATCCGGGGTATTTAAAAATACAGAATACATACATTCTCCTCCCCTCTGACACTTTATTTTTAAATATATGAAATAAAGAAGTCTAAATTGAACAAGCATTTGTATTTCAGTACCAACATGTTTTTATACCTTAGAAATACCTCCAATTCCTGGCCGTACCAGTATTCATAATTCTAAAGCAAGAAGAACATAAGCAAGAACGGCTGATATGAAAGTAGATCTTGATTGCACACTGTACAGTTACGGATGTAATATACCGCAGAAGTGAAGCACATTGAGATGGTATCAACATTAAAATTATTTTTTTCTTGAATCTATTTCTCTACTCTACTTGAAAATAAATTAGGTCCACAGAACCTAGGGAACAAGATTAACTAACTGACTGTGGTAGGACATCCTTTTTTCACGCTGTAATCAGCAAATGCTGTGAACGTCTGGCTGCAGTCCTGTCACACAGGCATGAAGATCTTCTTGGTTTCAATCCATTTTTGTGTTTATCCTTATATAAATTACTCTACTGAAACAGAAAATAAAGAAACCTGTTGCCTCATCTGAATATTTTCCATGCCTTCCCTCTATTGGATTTCTCTCTTCTGCCATATGATGTTTCTGATGGCACCTTAGGAAAAGTGTGATGATCTAAAATGCTTGAGACTGTTGCCTGTCAGTCCTTAGTCTCCCTCTTGCCAGTGGGCTGCCGGTCTATGTTTGCCACGTTTCTTTCCAGATTTCCATGTATTGAAAGACTAGGCTTCATAATGATCACACAACTTAGGAAGGAAATTCCTGACAATCCAAAATCTGTTGCAGGTTGCAAGTCTGTAGAGGATTTGGTAGTAACCACATTACTGTACCAGAAGTAACAGATACAAACAGAACAATGCCCTTCCTATTTGGAAGCCTTTCCATCGTCAAATATGCTTAAAAATATAACCAAGAATGACATTTTACAATAAATATAAAATTAGTAAGAAATAGAAAACCTGAAAGGGGTATAACTTCTAACAAAATTCTTTCCTAGCTCTTAAAACTAATAAACCTACCTTTTTGTATTCTGTCTCTCAGGAATGTATCTTAAAACTAGCTGCCAGGAAAGCTGGAAAGCAAATTTGTTCTTCAATAGTCTGTCCCTAGCTGTTTATAAAGTTAATGCATTGAACAACATTTGCCCTTCCGTCTTGATCAGACAGAATTCGCCCCTTCTCTTATTTTTATTCTTAACTTTCAATGCATTCTGGACAGATGAATGTAGTCAAATGCAAGGGATGTAAGTAGGCTAATCCCCATTTTTATACATACATGGCATATAGCTTACATTACTGTTCTATTTTTAAATACACATTCCTTCTGACTTAAAATCTCAGTCAACAAGGAGTCTTAAGACTTTTACAATATGTCATAGCAGTTGCAAGTATCCTTCACTGTATGTATACATCTTAGTAACTGCAATCTCTGCTTGTAAAATTTCAGACACCATATATGATCATGAATGACAAGTCAAGTCTGGTTAAACTGCAATTTCTGTCATCTTCTGAGAATTTTAGGTGTTTGCTGCATCACAGCATGGAACATGTAGTTCTCTGATTTGCATCGTATCTCTTTCTTCACTGTCTGCAAATTCCAAAGATGCTTTAACTCAGTAGTGAAGTCGTTTCCATGTATTTAAAACAAAATACAGTAAACCAGAGGAAAAAGGTTCGGTGACATTTAGGCTGCCATTAGACTTCTTTAGCTTGGGAAAGTAATGAGACACCACCACTTCATATCAGGTTCTGGCTATTAGCCTCCAGTTGTAGGTACTCAAGCTTCCCCTCATGACAGAAAACCGTACCATTCCACTTATATTTCTGTGCAAAATGTCATAATTCAGAGCATGTGAATTAGCTTTTTAAAAAAGAAAAGAAATGATAATTACCTTTTCATTCCTTGCAATGAAAAGGGTTAGCAAACATTCATGAAGTACAGAAAAATAATTATTATTAATGGCAAGAAGTCTACATGAAAGCTTCTGAGTAATTATGAAGAGAGAAATAAACCAAAAAGAACTGAGAAAAAACAGTGTTTGTGGGAGGCAGAAGAAAAAACGAAGTGTTTGTACTGGAAGATAGAACATACAAAGTAACACAAAATTATATATTTGTATTTTTATGTTTATAATATATATGTATATATAAATAAAATATGAAAAATACAAAAGTAGGAAAAGTAAACAGAAAACGTATAAGGAAGAAAAAACTAGGAATAGTATACCTGAAAAAGGCTATAAAATGGCACGGCACAGAAAGCAAACAAA